CGGACAGCCTCCAGCTGCTGCTTCTGTGCGACGTCAAGGTAACTGGTAATGATAATCCTTCCTTACGAAAGTCGACGGGTCAAGAAACGGACCCGGTGTTTGCAAGGTTCGAGCAGCGTTCACGTCGTCGCGCCGCTGGTACACCTCGCATTTTTTTCTTTTCCCGGAGTATTCGACTCGTAATCGACTTCTTTGACAGGGTTAATGACGCCCGTGGAGGGCGCGGTGTGCGGCGCTCAATTGCCGAAGGCCTGGGATGTGTTTTTCTTGAAGCCGCGGGCGTGCTGTCCAAAGTTGCACCGCGCGCAGGGGATGTCTTTCGTGTCCTTGACCACGGTACATTCAGCAGAGAATGCGTGCAGAAGGTCCTGGGAATGTAAAGGTGTCTTTAATACGCGAGTCTCGTACGAGGCGACAGTCAAATGTGAAATGTGGATGCTCACAATTTTGAGGGAGGGGGGAGTGAAACGGGGGTCACACGTATCTTGGTATGAATGGGTGGGTCACAGAAGATAGTGTGATCATACAAGGGTGTAAATTATACAAGACGATATAATCACACGATGGTGTGGCTACACCTCAACAAGAAGTTAGTACGTGGCTGAACTGCCAGAAGTTATGCATTTTAGTAAGCAGTTTCTTTTAATCAGAAAAATCTACAAATTTAGATAAAGGCGGCTTTGTCACAAAAAACAAAAAATATAGTTTACGAAGACTTAATTTTTTGGGGCTAAGGTATTGGTTACTCTTGAGGTAAGCGGATTGCGATTCGCCACACCCGTAGTAGTTATGATACAGAACGAATGTCATTGACCTTATCTTAGCTCCCTTTAAGGAACGGCAGCCCCGCTGCAGTCCTGAGAACAAATTTTAGCTACATGTTTTACTACATATCGCAATAACCCCCTGAAGAATGCCTAATGTGAGGTTCTGCAGCTCACGTATGTCACGGACCTCGCATTCACGAATTTTCATCACACTCACCCTTACCAGCACTGACCACGTCGGAGCAATGGTGTACTGTTCTCCAATGTACCGATACAAGATACGAACCGGTACTACCAGATCATAATTCTACCTCGCTACAGTCGGTAGAAGTCAGGTCGGTAAAAGCGAAGCGGTAAAGTAAAAAAACGTCTTATCACCAGAACAGTTGAGTAATAAAAACCTCACGTGCTTATGTGCTCATTCAAAACAGCTGAATCTATTTTGAAGATGCGCATGAGACTTCCCAATAGCGTATTGTCCTTCTCAGTCCATGCTAATGCCAATCCATCGATTCTTTTCTGTTAATTCAAGCACTTCATTAACAAGCGCGGTATAGCTTAAAAAAGAATTTGTGGTTTCATGCATGTAGAACATGCACAAACCCAGCATAAGGTACCTGTGCTTCAGGTCTACAGCGTTTTGAGCACTGTGTACGCTCAATTCAAAACTTGCTTTAATTCGCGCAACTTTGTGGCAATGTATTGGCAATCACGGGTACTAGTAGCAGCAGCGCTGGTAGCAAGTCTCGCCTCCATTGTTGAAACTCAGAGTGACTCTGGCTTAAATGCCACATGTTTGCCCTCGCAATACACGGACAAGATCACGGGCGACTGCGTCAACTACAAAGGACGAGGTGAAAAGGCTGAGACCGATTACGACAAAGCAGTGAACTCAGGGAATACGGCATGGATGTTAATGGCTAGCGCTCTGGTCATGATCATGACACCAGGAGTTGCATTTTTTTACGCCGGTCTTGCTGGTGGTGAAATGGCTCTGAACACTATTATGATGTCATTTGTTAGCATGGCATTAGTGTCGATTCAATTTTGGGCCTTTGGATACTCCGCGTCTTTTGGATCTAATGGCATGTTCGAATGGGCTGCTTATAACAATGTGGGAAAAACCCCGAGCGGCACGTACGGCACTGAAATTCCGCATATCTTGTTCGCCCTCTTCCAGACCCAGTTTGCTATGATTTCGCCAGCGCTACTAAGCGGCGGCATTGTTGGTCGCATGAAGTATGGAACCTTTCTGCTCTTTATCTTTCTGTGGACGTCACTTGTGTACGACCCGTTGCCCCACTGGATGTGGTCACTGGAACTTGATGATTCCTGGGCAATTACAAACATGGGCTGGGAGGGAAAAATGGGGTCTATTGACTTTGCCGGAGGATCAGTCATTCATATTTCTAGTGGTTTCGGTGCTCTCGCTGCTGCTCTGATGGTTGGAAAAAGGTACAATCACAACGAAGCTGTCAATCCACATAATGTTCCTCTCGTAATGATTGGTGTCACACTATTGTGGTTTGGCTGGTTTGGATTCAACGCTGGCTCGCAGGGCGCAGCTGATGGCATCGCTGCCATAGCTGCTGTCAACACGCATCTGTCTTCAAGTGCAGGATTCCTGACATGGGTTGGCC